TTTTCAGGTGTCCACTGTTTTGGCTGGTATGGGTTATCTGTTGATTATTGTAACCTCGAGATGCTAATTCTTCTTAGATGAGGAACAAATGTATAATCGTCACCTGATCCAGGGACTGAACTCACGGTCTCTAGATAACAATAAAATATGTCTAACTAACTGGAAACTTTTATATTCAATGTCACATGGTTTCGACACGTGGTTAATATGGTGGATTAGTACAGTTTTTGGTTATGTTGTATTTCATTTTTAACGTTTTGTCTATAATGATTATTAAAATGATTATAATAATTTATAATAATAAGCTATAATGGCATTTATAATAATTAAGAAGGGGGAATAGTAGTTCGAATAAAGCAAAGTATATTTGACAATGCCTTATTTCAAATATAAAATACAAAATTATGATAAACGTTGTAAAATTCTACAAAAGGTTTCTCATCGGAGGGAAATGTTCAACGAGAGTCAACCATTAGATCTGTATAATAAACCCATGTTCTTCATTCTCAAACATGTGGTCTTGGACCTGGTTAAGCTAAGTTTAGTAAATATCTCTGTGCATACGAACGAATGCCTATCGTGTCCTGAGGATTAGCAAACTACTTACACAAGCCGTTACTACTTTGTGAATTTGATCTTCACTGAGTACCACACTAAGTCAATCTTTTCAAAAAAAAACTTTTTATGTGTATGGGCAATAGGAAAAAGACTGACAACTCTGTAGATATTGGCACAGAAAATAAGAGATGTCAATTGATATATAGATTTGTGGTTCTATTTGCTTTTAACCATTTGTTCAATGGATTTGATCGATGGTATCCAGGCACTGTTTGAGCGCTTATTTTTGTTCAAGCTGTTGTTGAAGAGGAAATCATAACACCGCCCCCATTAAACACTTAGCCCACGTACGCTATTAACAATGACAGAATGAAATCAGAAGCTTATTTCAGTGAAAAAAAAAGCACCAAGTCCCCGTCCATTATTAGGTTATGAAGGACATCTTAATAAAGGCTGTACACTCTTCGCATTTTGAATCTGTTTCTGTCATATGACTCTTCTCGTTTTATGTAGGATTTCCTTTCCGAACGTTAATGATCATGGCTCTTCACAATTTCCTGTCCTTTGTAGCTTTTAATAGATTTTGTATTTGTGTTATCTCTCCTAATCCCCGTTCTGCCATCCATTTACTCAGACTCACTAGGTAGGTTATGCGTTGTTTTCCTCACTCCCTCTAATCTTCAATCTGTCCCGTGGGTATTAAATTTTCCAAGCAATCTTTCCTCAGTATGTGTCCTAGAAATTTCATCTGTCTCTTTCTGATGTATATGTTTTAATTTTCTCTAAAACTACGTCGTTGCTCACATATTCGTTCCATTTTATTCTGTTGTTCAAGTCTTCTTCATCTTTCAGGAGTTTGTCCAGCATCCACTATCATATAGGAGGACTGACATTCGTAATAGTTCAGTACTCTTTTTTTTTGTTTCTAACAAAATTTTCCAGTTTCTTAATACTTTGCTCAGATTTTAGAAGGCATCTTTCGCTATCCCAATGTGCCTTCGAATTTCAGCATTTCCATCCTATGTTAAAACACTTTCTAGATATTTAAATTGTATTTGTTTGATTTTAGTATCTCCAATTTGCAATTTGTATGTTGGACTGTTCCTTTTGCTTAAAACCATGCATTCCGTTTTCTTGCAGTTGATGTTTAGTCCTTTCTTCTTGCTTTCCTTCACTACCTTTTGTAGGTGTTCTCGTGGTTTCCTTTCTGTGTCTGCTATCAGCACTGTTTCATCTTCATATCTTATATTAAGATTGTGGCTGCCAATAATGAATCGTGGTAGGACTTCTAATTCTCTCAGAATCTCCTCACTGTTTAGACTGATGAGAAGATACATCCTTTTCTTACACCAAGTGATTTTAACCCATTCTCTTTCTAGCTGAAGAACTCAAAGGGTTTTTCTGTAATTCTTATGAGAAATGATGTCAAACATCTTGTGTGTAAACCTGGAAAAAACTTCAGTTTAAATTTTTTTTTAAACGTTTGTGGGATGGACAATTATCCCACGCTGTCACACGATTAGGACAATTTCGCTGTTACACCCGGTATGTGTGTGTGTGTATATATATATATATATATATATATATATATATATATATATAAAGTGACATGAATTCTGAATGAAAGAAGTTGTTCCGCTATCAGACAAGTTTAACTCCGAAAATAATGTCTTCGATTTTCTTATATTGCTCCACGACGTCAGAAACGGATAGTAGTGGCCTAGCACTAATAACGCATTATTTTTTGTCTTGTTACGTAGCTGAGCGGCGGTATGGCAAAATGGCGTATGATATAAAAGTGCGTCCAAAATAGTGATACATCAATATAATAATAATAACAAAATTTGATTGATAAGCTATCCCGTGAAAAGTATGAAGGAGCAAAAAATAATGAGAGAAAATAATTATTGAGTTATATATATGTTTATTAATTGGTCACATGGGGCGCATATATTGCTAAATGTTTAAACTGTGTTGATGCCATCTTGCTTCTTAAATCTTCCAGTTTAAAATCAAGAATTTGATTTTATTTCGTAATTTATTCAGACTCAGCGTCTTCATTTTTGTTATTTTTATCACAGCTTTTCTGCTGATATATTCTTTCATTCTCTAATGAAAAAAATATATTGCTCTTCATGTCCGAGTCGGTTAAACGCACGTCGGATCTAACGGCGGTCTCTCCTGCAAAGGTGGACGTAGGTTCAGATTCGAATCTTGCTGGAGGGTGAATATTTTCTTTTAAAAATAATTCTCGAATTTCCAAGCAAATAAAAATAAATATATTGTATATAAGTAAAAGGAGCGTCTATTCAAATACGGGTTTAAATTAAAAATGACATTTAACTTCGGATTAATAAATGAAATTCCATTACGTTTTTAGAAGTATCTGGAAGTTCATGAGTAACCTCAGGTACTTATCTTTTACTTAGTGACGGCGGAAATATTTAGCGTCGGTAAAAAGGTAGGAGATGAGCGATTGAAATCTAGATATTTTAAATATTTAACACCTGTGTAAACGTGCCAGTATATTTATACACATAAGCACACAAACGACACTTGCAAACAAATCTCAGTGCCTGGATCGGAGAAGTGGGGGCTGAGAGTCTGGAAATTCAAACCCTGTAATCAGATCGATGATACTCGTTACCAGGCGTTAATATAAAATGTAAAAATGGCCACTCATACCCAAGGATGTTAGACTACAACGGCAGCTAGCTAATCCTCGTTGCAGACGCCAGCTCAATACCCACAGAACCTACCTGTGATTTATACTGCAACTATACTGAGTGGACCTTGCTTACACTTTCTGGGAGAGAGCGCGTTATCTAGCGTGATCAACAGTCTGAACAAGGCCCAAACCTTCAGTCACGATGACTCGTGACTTCCTGCTAGCACAGCCATGGACGGTTCTCAAGGGTTCTGTTTACCCAATTTCAATTACAAGGCTTGGGTCAAACCGTGGTACGGTTCTCAGGCACTTTCCAAAGGTGCCGCACACTGGGATCGACCCCTCCAAACGGATAACATCAGGAAGTCACCTTCCTGACAAATCGATCATGGTGAGATTCGAAACCGGCTCTCAGCAAGCGAACGTTCTATCTGCCCGGCAACGTGCCCATAGCATTAAGATAAAAGGGTGGCATTGAATAAATTTAAGCAATAAAAAACTTCTGTTCATTTATCTGCAGAAACTGGACTTGTTTCTCAATTCACAGAGAGGCATTTCATCTTCACCAATATATAGCCTTGTGGCGGATTTCTATCCTTCAATATATTCAAGATTAGGACTCAACAATATGCAATATATATATATATATATATATATATATATATATATATATATATATATATATATATATATATATATATCTATATTTCTAAGATGAGGCATTATGTACATTATTCGGACTATTGTCCCCATCTTTGTCGCCATATTTATCACAACGTTTCGGCTGTTGTATGCTCTGGCCTTCTTCAGGTGGTTGGAATTTCGAACTGAACCTTTTATTTCGCTCACTGGGGTAGACTTTTCTAGTTCCATGTTTTTGATGGATGTCAGTTATCAGTTATCTCCTATTAATTTCCCTCTGAAAGTTTTCCAAGGACACATGGCACAGTGGATAAAGGCGTTGGTTAGATCCAGTGACAGACTCAAAGAGTGTGAGTTCAATACCCGGTTAAGGCAGTGGAGAACTTTCAGAGGGAAATTAGCAGGCGATAACTGATAACTGACATCCATCAAACATGGCGAAAATAACGGCCGAAACGTTGTGATAAATATGGCGACAAAGATGAGGACAATAGTCCGAATAATGTAAATAATGTATATATATATATATATATATATATATATATATATATATATATATGTGTGTGTGTGTGTGTGTGTGTGTGCAAATATTTAGAAAAATAGGAAAGAACACGTTAGGTTAATAATCCGAATTTCTTTAGTATTTTTGTTTTTATTTTTAAAAACAGTGCTCAGTACATAAGTAGAGCCTAAATGCTAATTATTTAAAACATGAGAAATATGAGAACTGTTATGTAGCGATGGAATCATATTTTTAAAAATTATTATCTATCTATCTATCTATCTATCTATCTATCTATCTATCTAATATGTGTGTGTATGTATATATATATATAATATGTGTGTATATATATGTGTGTGTGTATATATATACAATATGTGTTTATATGTATGTATATATAATATGTGTATATATATGTATGTATATATATATGTTTGTATATATATATATATGTATATATATATGTTTGTATATGTATTATATAGGCATAAATACACGTCATTTGCAAGATTTCCAAGTGCAGACGGATCTATGCAAACATTGAAGGAAACAGGTGTATGCATATCATCGACTAAGAAGCAGACGAATAGACGCATTTAATTGAACAAGCCGTCTGAAAAAGAACTGTTTTTAGTGCGATGAAGACAAAAGAATGACGTTAGCTTGCGAACTTGTCGACGATCGAATTTGAGGGAAGTGTACTTTGAAGCGACAGACTAATTTCCGGCATTTTGTAGAAGAAGAAGAAGAAGATGAAGAAGAAGAAGGGATAATGATTGATAGACAAATGGTTATATATATAAATGAATGAACGTGATGAAAAATAGGCTGTGAAGAGACCATGTAGGAGTAAATCGAGAAATAAAGAATAGAGAAGAAATAGTGAATGAAGAAGAATGCATAAAGAATAAAAAAAATATTAAACGGAAATAATTTAAAAAATGAAAGAAACCAAGAAAGAAATTTAAGTAGAGAGAAACGATAGACAGTTGAAATAACTGAACGATGAGATACCACAGGAAAATAGGGGGAAGAAGCGAAGAGAAAAGACATGCGTGTGAAAAAAGAAAGAAAGAAAGAGAACTGTAAGATGTAAAGACAGTGAACGTTTAGAAGGAGAAATAAAGCCTGCGATGGAAGAGGAATGAAAAAAGAGAAAATAAAAGAAGACAGATAAAGGAGAAAGAAAGTTGGTGACAGAAACATCAACAAGAATATGAGAGCGAAGACATTAGATTTAAACTAAAGTAAAAAAAGGGGCAAAGATATAGAAATAAAAGAGAAAGTAAATGCAAGAAAGATTAAAGAAAAAGTAAAGAAAAACCAGAAAAAGAAAGATGTAATATTAAAAAAAAACAAAAATAATGAGAGAAATAAAGATGTTACAGACTGATTTTAAAATAAAAATCAAAGAATGATTATATATATATATATATATATATATATATATATATTCGGAGAGGGATGATTTTTATGCTTTTCTTTTCTTTACTCTTTCTATTTCTCTTTCTTTTCTCGTTCTGCTTTTATTGATTTCTCATCCTCTTCTTTTTTCTGCTTTAGCCTGCATATATTATTATTATTATTATTATTTTTCTTTTCCATTTACGGAAATTCATATATCTTCCTAAATTCATATATCTTCCTAAATTCATATATCTCCTTAAATTCATATATCTTCCTAAATTTTTAAAAAATATAAAAGTATGTGATGTTTCATAAGTAGCATTTTTGAATAAGATCGTTTATAACTGTCTTTGTTCATCACTTGATGAGATGCATCTTTGTAGTGATTACTTGTTTGTTCGTATGTAACAACTTATATATATTTTTACATTTTATATATATATATATATATATATATATATATATATATATATATATATATATATATATATATATATATATATATAGATAGATAGATAGATAGATATAGATATAGATATAAATTTATATACAGATATTTATATATATATGAATGTACATTTATATATATATATTTAAATTTATATATGTATATATACATATAAATGTAAATTGTCATATATATATATATATATATATATATATATATTCCAACCTAGTGAGCCAGACAAACCTACCCAGGTTTCACCAAAGCGGATTGTCATTGTGTGTGTGTGTGTGTGTGTGTGTGTGTGTGTGTGTGTGTGTGTGTGTGTGTAACCGTGAGTTTTATGATAAGTTTCTTTTCTCGCACTTCTTGCTTGTGGAACTTCCTTCCGGCTGCATGCTTTCCAGTCAGCTTTAATCTACAAAAAATTTAAGTGCAATGTTACTTGCTATCGACTGTACTCCTGATTACTCTTTTATCTTCCTGCTCATTATGAATGTTCCTGTTCCTAATTCTTCCACACCTTGTAACTCCTTGTGCCTTTACTGGCTTGCATGGGGTGATACTGATTTATATGTACGAATGTTAAAAATAAGTCAGTAGCCTTATGATAAAAAATATAAATCAGATATTTATTTTTAAATATAATCTCATTTTTTTTTGGACAATGCTCTTAATCCAACGTTTCTGCATTAATCACATAGATTGAACGTTATACAGTGAAAAATCTCATCTAAATGCAGTTAATAACTGTTGTTAGGCTATGGTCTTATTGATTCGTCATCTCATAAATCGGTAGAATAGTAAAAAAAAGTGGTGGAGAAGGAAGAATAAAAGCTTAAAGGGATTGTAAAAATGAAAAAAAAAAAAAACGCCTCCACCTACCCACCAAAAATAAAAGAAAAAATTATCCGATGAAAAGGAAGTCAAAGAAAAAACCTCTGAAAATCTAGCGGAATCTTTTCTTTCTTTCCACGCATTTCCTACGCATTTAAGATGAATATAATGTTAGTAGTAGTAGTAGTAGTAATAATAATAATAATGATGATGATGATAATAGTAGTAGCTTTAACTATGTAAAATGTGTTTGATCTTAGGTTTTCTTTGTTTTTACAAATTGATTAGCATGTGATGAAATCATTTCTGACCTTAGATCTCTGGTTGGGACCGGGAAGAAAATGTGTATACAACAGAGAAAAAAAAAATTGATTGATAAGCTACCTCGCCTCGTGAAAAGACGTTCAAAAGCACACACAACATAAATAAATAAAACATCGAAATGCAAACAGAAAAAAAAGTTCTTCCAAGGTTGTTGACTTCCACTAAATCGACTAAACTGGGTGTTGGCTGGTTTTCTGAACAAAATAAAAATGTAACATTGTTTTTTATTGGTTAATTAATTATGAAGTCTGGGGCATGACCAATTGTACAAGAAATGATGTGTGACATCGCATATTATTATACGAACGTCTAAATAAATTACCGATAGTAATAATTATAATTTGTTTACATTACATTCGGACAACTGTTCTAATTTTTGTTCTTGTTATTATCAGACCGTTACGGTCGTCGTGCTCTTCGGCCTTTTCGGTTATTCTTCACTCTTTTCACTCACAAGAATAAAAATGAGGACATTAGACCAAATGCAAATAATGATAGCTACGTATTCAAACATAAATTACTACATATTTTCACATTAATCAGATCTGGTAAATCTTGTTAGGAATCAAATGACAACATTCTTCCATAAGATTCTTGTTCATTTTAGTAATCTTTTTATCTGGGTGGTTTCAATTTTTCCTCAATGTTTTTCTTTTAAATCTACACACCTTGGGATAATAAAAAATATTAACGTTATAATGGTTTTAATTCCTGGGAAAATAGCGTCAGGCCCAAAATAGAAAATAATATTTTAACATTTCATTGGTCAGAAAATAGTTACACAAATAAAGTAACTTAGTATGCGATAGCTTTTTCTCTTTGTCTTCTTTGAATGTGCACATTTGGTGAATACATTTGCATTTTTATAAAATAAAGTCAAGTTTGTTCATTCATTTGATGAGGAGTAGAAAAAATATTTTCCAGTTAGTTTATATCTAATATAAGATAATATTTTTAATATAACTAGATATAAAGGATTTCTATCCTTCAATAGCTAAGCGCATGCAGGCCACCTGATTAGACCAAGTACTAATAAAAATAAGTACAAACAAATTAAATACCATCAAGCACTGTCGGAAAACACAATTATTTGACAAGAAAGTCGATTGACTAAAAAAAAAAAAAAGAGCAATGTTCGATGTTATAATGTGGAGTTTTGATGGATCTTAAGGCAGTTAATATTGGGCTGTATTTTTTATAATGTAAAATTTGATGTTGATGGTAGCTATTCTTTCTGGGTCTTTATGTATTTTGGTAGTGTTGGGTTGTTACCGTATTTTTTATGGCATATGTATGTGTGTGTGTGTGTGTAATATGAGTATATATATATGTGTGTGGGTGTGTATATATATATGTATATATAACAGTGTATATATATGTATTTATATATATATGCGTGTGTGTGTTTATATATATATATATATATATATATATATATATATATATATATATATATATATATATATATATATATATATATATATATATATATATATATACAAATATGACCTTGAGAGTGAAATTGGGCTGATGAAACTCTTGTGGGTCGTCGATAGCTTAAGCGTGTTGGCCTTGTTCAAATTGTTGATCACACTAGATAACACGCTCTTTCCCATACGAACGAATGTGTAACTAAGGTCTCTCAGCATATTTGCAGGATAAACCAAGAGTAGGCTATGTGGGTGTTGAGCAAAAAAATGCGAGCGTCTACAATAGGGTTTGGCTAGCCGACCTAGTAGACAGGTATCCTCGAATGCGAGTGGCCATATATATATATATATATATATATATATATATATATATATATATAGCGAGAGAGAGAGAGAGAGAGAGAGAGAGAGAGATTTATTGGTACAAAACTTAATTTTTGCTTTAAAAGTATTCAGTTTAACATTAAAAGGCATAATGATGGATAAAAAATAAAAGGAGGGAAAAGGTTTCTTTATCGGGACAATTTAAAGTAAAATATAATAAATATGAGATATGAATTAGCCAATGATGGGAAAAAAGGGAAAGGAACAACCAGAGATTGATTACAGCAAGGCCTAGCAAACACTCTCGCTGCTTACACAGCCAGGGTCTGCGAGATCTGATTCCATAGCAGGTTCTCTGCTATTTATCAGATGTTCGCAAATTGAGGAACAGTTAGTATTGCAGATGAGTTCATTTTGTTGCCAGATATGCTTCCTGACGTTCAATGGAACATGTTGTTCAATTGTAGCTGAGTAATTCTCCCTATGTAACTGTAAGATATATTTGTGAGTGTATATATATATATATATATATATATATATATATATTTGTGTGAGTATATATATATTTGTGAATATATGTACATATTTGTGAATATGTATATATATATATATTTCTGTATGTATGTATGTATATATATATTCAAAAATATATATATACACACACATATATATATATATATAGAGAGTATAGATATATATTTTGAATATATATAATTTGAGATATATATATATATATATATATATATATATATATATATATATATATACAAAAAGGAAAGCTTTATTCGTACAGTATTTTTACTGATTTAATTATATCTGAAATTTTACACACACACACATATACATACATACATACACACACACACACACATATATATATATATATATATATATATATATATATATATATATATATATATATATATATATATATCAGCACATAAACAGGCGAATGTGTTTGTTCTTGTGAAGAATTATACACCTTTTATTTGTAAAGTAATACATTAATTTCTTTGGATAAGTGTCATCATCATCGTCATCTTGGTCTTGAGAGACAATAAGAGCCAAAATCCAGGCACCAATCCGAATAGATTAGTGTACGTTGCCCCATTCTAGAGAATCAAATACAAATTAAATGTTCGTTTGAAAGAAGTAATGAATACAATTTATGTATTTTCCCCATAAAAAAAAATTGTAAATTTCTATGGATCTCCTGGCATGTCTCTATCCTTAGTAACTCTTTCAAATAGCAAGAAGGAAAAGAGAATATTATAAAATAAAAATAAGAAACTCTCCCAATGAAATCAAAGACAGATTTGGTCTGCTATTTTGAATCGATATATTCTATTCGCTCCCCGTCCAGTCCGAGCCTTTTCCATTGCACGAGAATAGGCCATCTAGTTCAGCAGCTGATCGATATTTCATCAACACCAACACAA